CTTTCTCCATTAATCCAGCCATTTGCAAACTGAGGGAAGGGAATGAATTCTGAAGTTCACCTTTGCAAGTCATGGATGGCAAATTTTTCACTGTGTCATCAATGTAACATTAACCACTAGAACATCTATTTCTAATCCAGGCTTCGAGTTTGTTATACCTAAAGGGTGCAGGAATCTGGGGGCACAGGAGGTGCAGCACCTCCCTGGGTAAGCCAAGGGTTGAACCAACCTATCAAACACCTATTTTGACAAGTTTTTGGTAAAAGAGCAGTCAAGGTTATATAGCTGGAGTATATAATGATATGAGCATCTGTGATTAAGTGCAAAGGGCAAAGAGAAGAAGGGCTGGAAGCAGAAAGTCAAGGCCAGCTCTTATGTATTTATTTACACTCCAATCTGGGGGATGGGGGCAGCAGAGAAAAAAATATCTTAAAAAAAAAAAGAAAGAGCACACAGCTGCCATCCCAAAAACAGACCTCCCATCTGCCACCCACGATTTGCATGTCACCTTCTCCAGGCTCATTTGTACTTCATTAACTGCCATTGACTTAACAAGATTTATGCAAATGACACCATAGGAGCTCGCTAACTCCCACTGCAATCAAGTGATTATGTATGTACAATTCTCCACAGCAATGAAAAATTAATACATGACAAGCCCCCTCACCGCTGAGCTGAGCTGCTTGCTTTTATTTTTCTTGTTGTGCCTTTTTTTTTTCTTTCTAAATTTGAATATGCCCTACTGATAAAGATTTCCCAAACCCACAAAACCCAAAGTTCTTTTTCAAAAAAGTTACAACTCCAGTCCCCGTTCTAGAAAGTCTGGTCCCTTAAACTGTGCACATTAATGTGTGCCTCAAAATATTCTTCAAAATATTCACTCTGGCACCCAGGAATGAGTCTTCATTTCCAGAATAAATGGGTTTGAAGGGAGGATTTTCCAACCACAGCAAACCACTCACTCTAAGAATAGTATCAGCAATGCTACAAAAAAATAACAAATATTTTTAGTTTAAGTGCCTCTTTCTCAGAAGCACAGAACTTTCTATGGATTTTAACTCTGAGCTAATATTGTTCCAGACATTTTCTGACTCCGTTTGATTTGTACGGGTTATTTAGTTGGGAATTTTTGTGGTTTTGGAAAAAATCTGGCATCCACAGTTCTCCAAAACTGCTGCTATGGTTGTGCATGCACAAGGTATTGGTACCTCCCCTTGCCTTCCCAAAATTTCCCTGACCTTAAGAGTACTTTGGCAGGACTGAGGAGCCACATTCTAAAAACATGCCTATTTTCAGTGCCTACATTGTGGGGTTCTGCTGGGAGCAGGAAGGTTCCTTGGGACAGTTTTATAGGGCTTAGGCCAATAAAACCATATTTAGCACTGCAGTGAAAAGTCAATTCTAACATGTGGAAAGGACAGACAGAATAAGAGCACTAACTGTTTTCAACCAGACTGCTCTGAGTTAAGGATAAGCCCTGAAGGAACGAGGTGTTTCTTTGGAAGGAAATGTGCCATTCACAGTTTGACCTATTCACAGAATTCTGGAATTGTTTGGGTTGGAAGGGATCTTAGAGATGATCCAGTTCCAACCCCCTGCCACAGGTAGGAGGGACATCTTCCACTGGACCAGGTTGCTCAGGGCACCATCCAAACTCTCCCAAACTCTCAGGGATTTCCCTCAAACTCCCAGGGATGAGGGACCAGGAACAGGAATGCAGGAGGAGGTTGCAGCTCTTGGCTTATTTTGACCAAAAGCCCCTGTGCAGGTCGGCAGCTGGGGCCCAGAAAGGCTGTAACACAGAACGAGCAGCAGCTCTTCATTCCAGCAGCAACACAGACCTATCTATGAAAAAACTGTAGCTAAGGACAAACTCCTCATAAGCACATTTACTGCACCTCCCAGAGAACTGATTTTCCCCTGCATTTATTCTGTGCTTTCCCCACCACACACAAAACCACTTGGCTAATATCAGCTCTTCCTCCCCCCCTCCCTGTGCCTCTCTAGTGCTGGGAGAGATTTCATTTCTTCCTCAAAGCCAGAACATTCCCACTCTCCAAGGGACTTGCTTCGGTTGGGGTTTTCTTGTTTGTTTGGGTCTTTTGTTTGAGTGTGGTTTGGGTTGTGGATTTGTTGTTTCTGTTTCGTTGTTTTTTATTTTTTGTTTTGGGTTGGTTGGTTTTGTTTTGCAGAATTTTTTTATTTGTTTGGGTTTTTTTTTATGTTTAGTTTTATTTGGGAAATAGTATTTCTCATTTTTGGGAGACCCTGAGTAGAAAAGAACAACCCAGAGGCACCACAAAATACACTGAATAACCAAGCCACTGATTTCAACAGCAGAATAGCAAGACTCTTTTCTATTCCCCCCCTTTTTTTTTGGTAATTACAGTTATTTCAAGTAGCAGTGAACTGAGAACACAAAATCCAGTATATATGAGTTCCAACCATAAGTTCCTTTTTTTCAGGCCAGCAGGGGACAAACCCTGGAAAACAGGGTGACAAAGCATTAGAAGGACAAGTCTTTCAGTGATGCAATAAGATCATTCTCCTGTGAATGTTACAGTCTGTATTCAGCTTCATGAAACATCCCTTCCTACTCCCAAGTGTCCCAAGTAACAAGAGACAAGACAAGAGGAAATGGCCTCAAGTTGTGCCAGGGGAGGCTTAGACTGGATATTGGGAAAAAATGTCTTCATGCAAAGGGAGGTGAGGCATTGGAACTGCCCAGGGCAGTGGTGGAGTCCCCATGCCTGGAGGGCTCCAACAGCCCTGTGGATGTGGCACTTGGGGACAAGGGTTAGTGATGGCCCTGGCAGTGCCAGGGGAGTGGCAGGACTCTGATCTTAGGGGGTTCTTCCAACCTAAATGATTCTGTGATTCCCTGACCGTTTGTCAGAGAAACGTGTCATGACGGAAGGGGGTTCCCACCCTAAAAAGCACAACATGCTAAAACTTTTAAGAAGTTCCCTTTCACATCCCTCCACCTTATTCACAGTTAAGGCACGTGAAATAAGAGCCAGCCCCTCTTCCAGCAGGAGTTTCTGCGGCCTCAGAGAAACGCCTGCACGTGTGGCACCTGTAGAGCCCACCGGGAGCAGCCGCATCACAACGGAACCTGGGCCACCTCTACCCACAAGCCCTCCCCAAATCCCCTCCCATGTGAAATCCCACATGGAACAGCCATCCCCCAGCACTGCAAACCACCCAACCTCCCCGAACCCTGACGACAGGACGGGTCTGCCGACAGCACACGTCAAGTCTGTAATGATGATTGCTTGTACGTGACAAAATGGAACCACCACAACTGGGATTAATATAATTAATAACAAGCAGTACACGTTCCCAAAAGATTGGTCATATTTAGGATACAAGCAGGGTTGCAGGGAGAATTTTTCCTAACAGAAATTTGAGAGATTGGAGGGGTACTTCATTCCAACATTGCACTGTGGTGCAATCACACTCACAAATGTTTATCTTACACTGTTCTTCCTACGAGTTCATTTTTAATCAGATTCATTCCATACAACAGCATTTCAGAAAAGAACAGTACATATGCCTGGGATATTGGCACATGTATTCCTCAGTTTGTCACTCTCAGCTGCACTTTTGTTTAATTAGCATTCCCCAAAAGAATTCTGGCTGGTCTAACCCATCCTGTACCATACCAACACTGTAGGAAAATAAAATTGCAGCTTGTTTTAAATGCCTGGAATCTCCTCCCCTGGATGCAGAGCCAAATACTGAGCTTTTCTGCTTTCAAACTGCTCTTCTGGATTGCAGCGTGCTTGATTAAAATCTGCCTGCTAGAGATTCACACACCACAGCATTTTTGCTGCCTGATGGTCCCAAAAGGTCTTTTGAAACGACTAGAAGAAGAAAAATCACTGCTGATAATTAAGGGTACAAAATCATCTCCCCCTCACACCCAGAAATAAAAGAGGAAAAACATGAAACACCCCAAAATATGTAAAGCCACCTTCACACAGGAGACCTAGGGCTACCTGGCAGGGACTGAGGAAAGATCAGGAGAGGCAAGTGAGCCTCTGGAGGGTAGGACAGGCACCAGAACACCTGGAGAAACCGTGTGGGAAGGAAATCAGCTCCCTTCCCTGAGCACTTCTCTCCAGCAAGGCAACTCAGTAAATACTTGCAAACACTAACAGAGAAACTATTTGTGAGGCAAATATCAACCACGTGGACTTGGTGTCATTGCATTTGAGAAAGCAAATCACCTCATTCCCCAGACACTTGCTATCTAACACTGGCCTTGTTTTTGCCTTTCCAGGGAGTGTTCACAGCTCCAATTTAGCGTTCTGGGCTAATGAAAGCACGTCCGGGCCAGCAAAACAGACCAAAACAAATCCTCCAATCCGAGCCCTGTTGTGTAATGAGAAAGTTTAATTAAGGCCACCCATTACAGCTGTAAACGTTCTCTTATATAATAAGGTCTAAATGAAACTGAACCTAATCAAAGTTACAATTCCTTCATTAGCAAATTACAAACAGGCGCGCGCAGCTGACACACCGGCCGTGATTACCGGCACTAATTGCCTCGCCGGCGCGGACCAGCCTGGCCCCGCGTTCAGATGTCCGTCTGCGGCAGCAAATTAGGGCCACATCAGGCTCTTGCTCCATCACAAGGGGCTCTTGTGGAGCGATGTGATTCACCCTGAGCCCGGCAGCACTCGGCCCAATCAAAGCCCGCTACAAAGGCGGCTTTGAAGGCAGCCCAGCCTGGAAACGCGCTCCATATGCAGGCCGGCAGACTGCACTTCATTAGGCCTGTTGTCACATTTTCCCTCTTCTTATTCTAATGATCCTATTTTAATACACACAGGAACCTCTCCTAATTGATGTCAAGTGAGTGACTTCCACATTCATCACCGGAGCACATCAAAGGGTGCCGGGCGCGGGGCCCCGCTGCCGGAGCGTGTGAGACCCGAGGTGTGGCTCCCAACTCCGGCAAGCGGCACAGAAAAACCCGAGTGTTTCGGCATTACCTGTTTAATTGGGATTGCGCGGCCGCTTCCAATGCTGTCTGTTCTGCTCTCCAGGACCTTCTTCTCTTTGTCTGGGTCACTCCCTTTCCGAGACTGCAGAGCAAAAAGAAAGTTTGTGCTCCATTAAATGCAGCAGGTTCACACGGAGGATGCTTTTTTTTTTTTCCTTTTTTTTCCAAGCAATTAAAATATAATTTCACACATAAATACAGACTCGAAAGCCGTGAGATGAATCTACACAAATACGAGACCATCCTGAAATCTGAATAAATAAGATACCACCCATAAATTTCAACCATCCACTAGTTTGAGATGTATTTGGGTTTAAAGAGTTACACTTTCAGAGTCTGAAGACCCAGCAGATCAGAGGACACGTTTCTGAAGTTTCCAACAGCAGCTCCGATGAGGAATGAAAGTTCCAGCTCCTCATTAAAAAAGTTGAACATATCCATGCATACATTTAACTCACACCTGTGTGGTTCTTAGAAACGTTATCAACTATTTAGAAACACAATTTTACGATGTCGGTTTTGATCACACTGACTTTAACTTATTAGTTCTTTCCACTTTGGGATGGTTAGAAAGTTGGAACTGCAAGAAAAGGTGGGGATTGATGCTGGAAAAAGTTATTTGAACGCAATGTGGGAAAAAAATCAGCATGAGATGAATTTAATCGACGTTTAAACTGGAATTGCTTTCTCTTGGTGTTCCATAAGGCTGGAGCTGCTGCAGGAGTAGGGTCACAGTGCTCACCCCCCGACTTTATCGAGTTTTATGGGATTTTAAGCAGATATTCAGATTGCAGCCCGTTATTGCCAAAGAACACACGGACGTAATGATTTTGACAGATTTATTTTATTACAAAAAGAAGACCTGAGAGTCATCCTCCTTAATAACTGAACTGACAAGTGACAACTTCACTCCATTACTTTCCAATAGGAACATTACTCGCACAATATCGAAAATGAGAAAACATTTTCATGTGCTTTTCAACTCGGGAGATGATACATGAAAGGAGCCCATTTGTGATGTCCAGTGCCACAATGGGGAGTTAATGAAAACCAGGGCGATGCTTCTCATTTTCAGTGGAAAGAGATGTTTGAAACACTGAAATCGGGAGGACAATGAGGACGGTGCGTCGCTAATACCCATTTTCCATATTCCACGGAGAAGTGGAAGGAAGAACAAACCCCCGGAGCAGCTGCCTTCGGGCGGGAGAGGAGGGAAGGGGAGGGGGAACCCACGGAGCAAGACTTCAAGTAGCAGCATTCTAAGAACACATTTACCCAGCGGGGATCCCGTGCTGCCTTCCCCGCTCCGCCGGGAACGGGCTCCTCTCACCAGTTACTATGGATCGGGGCAATGGAATGACGTGCCGGGGAATTAAACAAAGAATAAATGAAAGAAAGCAAAACAAGTGGGAGGGATGAAATCCAATGTGCAGGATAACTATTGTTCCCCGTCCTTCAAGACAGATTTCTGACTCTGAAAGTGCCACTTCCCAAGAATACGAGGCAAAACAAAGCTTCAATGGGGCAAAGAGCCCGTAAGTGACATTGTAAAGAATCTCAGTGAAGGTATCCAAATCCCTGGGAGGGGAGTTGTCAACTTGAATGTTTCTTTTTTATCCCATTTTTTTAAAAAGAAAGGAGCCTGCCTCTGAAATGCAAGCTGAATATCTACGTGCTTGTTTTCACTTTTTGGTTTTAAATCACCCCGTCTTCCCTTCCGTGCAATAACTGCATCTGGAAATAACACGTTTGCACGTGGAAGGGAAATATCTACGCGTAAAACATTGTCCAATGGCTAAAGTATAGAAACATAGGGCTTTCTGTTAGGCAAATTCTATTCTAGCTGCTTGTAATCGCATTTTCCAGGGGAGAACCTTAGCAGGCTCTGCTATTTATAAAGACAAATCGCACAGTGAAACAAAGATCTGGCCTGAGCTTTTATGCTTTTGTACCTACGACACACACGATACATCTCACATCCCACAGCATAAAAAAACCAGACTCTACACCACGCTGGATCAACACTTGTTAGGGCTTTTTCTGATGGCATATCTACATGTTAAATAGCTCTGTTTAAAACTTCATGCCAGAGAACCAGAAGAAGTCTGGAAAAATTAAAACACCTGAACGAATATCAGTTGACTGATTTCCCCTTTGCACTGGAATTCATACACAGACTTAATCAGTGTAAAACTTGACCCAAGTATGGGCTGTGGAGTGAGATTTAGTTCCAGAGGGATAAAGTGTCTGAGTTTGGGCCCAACCAGACCCAGATCAGCAGTGCAGAGCACCCCAAAAGTAAGAATCCTGACCTCTAATAGCAGACACTGAGACAGAGAGTTTAAGTTTGAAAAAAGTCCTGCAATTCTGTAAATATATAAGAGAGGTAATACTGAATATGGGAAGGGAGATGCACCTTACTGTCCCAGAAATTCCCTCACCCCACACAGGATCAGACATACTTACAATCAGTTCCTCGCTGAAGTGGACCCCACAGATGCAGTTTAAATCTCCACCTGCCCTACACACTATTATTTAGTGATCCCTGTTATCACACTGCCCCAAAAAAAGGACATTGACACTTCTGCTAATATTTGATCTGTTTTATCACCTAAGTGAAAAATCAGCTGCTGCAACAATAGCTTTACAATAAACATTAATAATCAAAGCCAAAAACATCAGATGCTGCATTTAACACACTTAACGTGAACGTGCTTAAAATTCTCAAACACTATTCCAACTCAAAAACTGTCATTAACAGAAATCATATCTGTTTTCTACTTATCACAATTTCCTTCCAACACTAAAAGATCTGTAGGTCACTAAACAGCTTACCTGTGCTAGATAACAAGGGGTAACTTGCAATCATTAAACAGAAATACATTTGATTCTGTAAGTGATAAAGGCATAAGCAAGTTCCAGGCTGAGAAGAGAAGCACAGCAAGAAATCCAGAGCTAAATATTTTGATTACGCACTCTGTTCATAACTACACAGAAAATACTGGTCATCAGTTTATTCAAGTAAATAATCCCAGGTCATCACCTGGCTGATACAGCACAAAACCTGGGTTGCAGCAGGGTGGGTGTTCAGTACTTCAGGACAGAGACTACAGGGCAACTCACTACACAGCCTTCAACACACCCAGATCTAAAAGTCAGAACTAATTCTGAAAAGTCAAATTATGATCATTATTTTTCCATGAGACTTGTTTTTGCTCCAGTTTTCCCCAGCTATCTGACATTGGGACAACTCTCAACACCCTCTCGTACTAGTAAATTTGGCTCTCGCTATGTTATTAATTACCACAGACCAGAGCTTTGGTCTATTTTTTCATGGTTGACTTAACATTCTTCTCAAATCTTTTCTGTGATTCACTTCCTCAAATTTACACTTGCTCCGGATTAAAACAGCCCCAAATTCCCCAGTGTCAACACCACCCCCAGAGCCCTGACAGCGTTTAGTTCATCCTTCAGCCTGGGCCTGCTCGGCGCTGCTTTTGAGGGACGTGGTGGCTCCCAGGCCTGTCCAGAGCTCTGCCTGGGCTGGTTTCTGGGCTCACACTGACACCTAGTGGGGTTGGGAACTCCGGAGTATTCCCAGCGACGGGGAGAACCCACGGCACCGCGCTCAAACACCGGCGTCCACGCTGGGGGCACCTCTTCACACCCACTCACTTCAGTGCTTTGCACCCAAACACAAACCGCGTGATTTTCTCTCCTTTGTGGGAGCCGAGGATCCCATTTCACATCCCAATGGCCCTGCTGGGATGGACACGGGATCCCAGGGGCTCTGTGCTGTCACTCAGTGCTCCGAAACGGCACCGAAACTTTCTACTCCATAAAGGCCAAGAGCTCAGGTTTTGTTTAGAGTGTGAGGAAATGGTTTTATCCTTTTTGTATGTGGGAAGTGAACATGGCAGCACCTCTGGAATAAAATATATCAACTCTTTGTGATGACAGCGAGGCTGTGCCTTTCTAAGCTCAACTAATGTGCACCTTCAATCACCAAGGGACTTGGTCGTGAGCCCCCAGGGACTGTGAGTTTGCCATCAAGCATGTTAATTGTCAAAGAACTGCTTACAAACCACAATTACACACTCAACACCATCCCAGAGCTTTCAGCAAGACTGCTAAACTAAGGGAATCATCATTCAAGGCTTCATTATCCTTCCCAAACTACTTCTGCATAACAAAGATCTCTCATATTGCAGACTTTTCTATCTGGTACTTTTTTTTTTTTGCCTCTCAGTGAAGCAAAAACTAGGTAGTTTGGGAAGAAAAAAACCCCAAGATATTTTACTCTCCACCATCTTTTTTTAACTCTAGAAAAGAAAAGTGGGTTGATTCTGTATAGTAGTAAAAGTAGCATGGGGTAGTTATAGAATGGTTTGGGTTGGAAGGACCTTAAAGCTCATGCAGTCCCACCCCCTGCCATGGGCAGGGACACCTTCCATGAGATCAGGTTGCTCCAAGCCCCGTCCAGCCTGCCCTTGGACACTTCCAGGGATCCAGGGGCAGCCACAGCTTCTCTGGGCAACCTGTGCCAGGGCCTCCCCACCCTCCCAGGGAAGGATTCCTTCCCAATATCCCACCTAACCCTGCCCTCTGGCAGTGGGAAGCCACTTCCCCTTGTCCTGACCCTCCGCTCCAGGTCCTTGTCCCAAGTCCCTCTCCAGCTCTCCTGAAGCCCCTTTAGGCACTTGAAGGGGGTCTAAGGTCTCCCTGGAGCCTTCCCTTGTCCAGGCTGAGCTCTCCCAGTCTGTGTTCCCAGGGAAGGCCCTCCTGTGTACTCCCTGTACTGAATTCCCGTTCGAGCCTCAAACAGACCCACCCAACGTTCACCACAAAACGGTTTCGTTTCCAAGCCCACAGATCCATCTCAACACTCCTGTGTGGGTTAGACCAGCCCAGCTCCAGAGGGCTGAAGCTCAGGCCACCTCCACAGCAGCACGTACAGCTCAGCAGCAGTCCCTCCCTTGGCTCACTCACCGTGAAGAGGTTGGATCGGCGCTTGGACTGTTTACGGACAGGAGTTGGAGTGTTGGCAGTGGGAGGAACATCAATCCGCAGCTCCTTCTGGCTGGTGCTTGGAGTTGATGGGACAGAGGAGGAATAATCACTTAAACTCCCTCCTCCATTACTGGTCTGCAAGGATTAAAGTGAGTTTTAAACAGTGATACACTGCTTTCAAGAGATTACAATCCACAGCCGTATCTTATTTACTCCTGATTTATGCAAGAGCAGCCGGGGCTCAGGAACACGGGGCTGCCCCACTGCCACTGTTCCACACATTCCCACACACATCTGTATGCCAAGCCTTTACATATTTTCCCTGCCATTACTTTTTGAACACTTAGATAGCTCTGTTTACACAGCAGGCACATTTTCATTCTACACAGTGTAACCTTCACTGGGTGCCACCAGTTTCATTTGTTTTCTAGTGTACGAGTAAGCAAAACCTTGGGGAACATCTTGAAAATCTGGTTTTCTACTTCAAAATTACTACTCTGACTCTAACCCAAGAGAAAATACCCAGTGCCATGGAGCTGCATAACGAGTTAGTCCTAGCCTGGAGACATCAGATTACTGAGAGCTCATCAAGAAAATGAAAATACTTCAGCATTGTAAAATGGCTACTGTGGGGTCAGATAGATCCCAATACGTGTAAGGAATCACAGAATCTCCTGAGCTGGAAGGGACCCACAAGGATCATTGAGTCCAGCTCCACAGGATTTGCTGAGGTCACTGGTCAAGAGACACAAAATTTTAGAAGGAAGATATTCCAATTTATTCAAAGTAGCAGGAAATGCAATGTTACATCTTGGTCCTGAAAGAAATAAAGCATTGAGCCTATAAAACAATTAATGAATTGAGGTAAGAAATTACTAAAAGCAGGATGATGAGGAAACTGGATAGAATGGAAAGGACCAAAAGGTGATTAAGAACAAAGTCTTAAGTTAAAAAAAGATTACTACACATAACATGAGTACTAAAAGTGGAAGTAGTCAGGAAAGACAAAAGGGTCAATTTTTCCCTATCAGATCCAATTACACCCATTGAGGACATACTGTATGTGTTGAGGGGGGAATGGGGCAGGTCAAAGAGGGAAAATTCTGCCCAGTGGAGGAGTAGCAGTGGATGAAGGGGCTGGACAACGTGTAACATGTAAATTTTGGGGGAAATAAAGGTCTGGGATGCACACGAGACACAGGAAGAACATCTGTAAAGCAGCCAAGTTTCCTAGAGGAATGAGGAAAGATAGTGTGTGAGTATTCCCAGAATGGCTGAGGAGAAGAATGCCTGATGGGACTTCTCCTACACTCCCTGGGGGTCAGCATATGGATCAGGATCAGAATTCCAAGCAGTCAAGACAGTACCTCTGAAGGAGAACCATGTAGGAGACAATCCCTTATACCACCCAGCTGAAGGCTCTTTTCATGTTTCAGATCCTCTTGTGATTTTTCCAGCTTTCCAAATTGCCCTTTTTAAATTCAAGGAGTAAAGGATAAGGAGGAAGAGGCATGAGACAATCAGCTCGTGTTTGGGCTGAAGGGCCAACCAGAGCAGATGGAAATGCAGGAACACCACCTTCTGAAGGTCACTGTTTCTCTGGAAATAACATGTTCCTCAGCTCATCTCTGCGTGGCAAAACGCGACTGACACCCCTGCAAATGGCTTTTGATGGAGCAAGTTCTCCTTTCCCCTCTTTAAATAAAAACATACACATATAAAGAGGACATTAAATTTCATTTTCCCTTCATTCTGACCAAACTGGAAAAGTGTGGCTGTCAGGGAGCCAGAGCTGAGGGCACTGAAAGCAACAGAAGGTCTGAAGAGAGATTTTTCTACAACATTCTCAAGTGCCAGAGGAAGCAGCAGCAGAATTTGGAGATGGTCCGAGTGTGTAAAACAAAGGAGTTGAAATAGTTGGAATGATCCTTTTTAGTGTCCTAAGAGAGAATAGTAATGCTGGAGAGACGAGCAGGACAACTTGGGAAGAAGGGACCTGAATTATCCCACATCTGCCTTCCCTTGTTCTCAAACCAGTGGACATGAGAAGGATGATACAGAAGCCTTGTGTTTTTTAACTAAAATCACCAGATTTCTACTCTAAGTGCCTATTTCCCTGGTAGAGAAAATGAGGGATTCTTGAAAATGTTACCTTCTTAATCCTTCATCAATTTACAGTGTCATTTTATACTTTTTGGAGCTGTCCTCTGGATTTATTATGATTTATTTTCCAAGAGCAAGTAACTCCCAGAGGAAAACACCTACATGTTGGGCATTCTAGGCCCCAAAGACACACATTCCTATACAGACAGGTTCTATAAAAGAAGCCCTGCAGGAAATGTTTCTTTTGACCTGAACCAACCTTGCTCGATTTCCAGCTTTGTAAATAAAATTCTGAGCTGATTTCAAAATAAGCCACTGGCTGGAACAATGAAAAACACAAACAAAGACATGGAAACCATATTTATAGAACCACAGGATGGTGTGGATTGAAAGGGACCTTAAAGCCCATCCAGTTCCACCCCCTGCCATGGGCAGGGTCACTTCCACTGGCCCAGGTTGTTCCAAGCCCCGTCCAACCTGGCCTTGGACACTTCCAGGGATGGGGCAGCCACAGCTTCTCTGGGCAACCTGTGCCAGGGCCTCCCCACCCTCACAGGGAACAATCTAAAACGCTTGTTTTAAATAAATATTAAATTACTTAAAAATAACCTTGTAAATCCAAGAGGATTGTGATGTATATGGCAATGTTATTAAACATATTAACATTCTTCCTCCAGTTTTCATTTTGCAACTCCATGAAAAGGCAGAAGGAACAGCTACTTAAGCAATGTAGTCTCTTCTCAAGTGCCCAAAACACTGCAACAGAACATTTCATCCCAAATGGCCCCTGCTATAAATAAGATAATTGTTCCCTACTATTTAGTGCTTATCCGTAATCAGGTCTCATGTACAATAAAACATTGGATGATCAAGTTGACTGCACTTGGCTTTTAGTAGTTTCATTTACATATTTAGACAATCATATTGAAGTAAAAACTGGATGGAGGTGCAGTGCAAGCATAAATGATGCATCTCTACAGGTTTGCAACAGGTAGTAGGGAGCGAGGTTGTGTGCAAGCAACAGCTGAGGTGCAGCTTAGTACAGTGGACATTAAGCTCCACACCTTCCCAGGAATAATGCAAATCTCCTGGGAGAGTGACAAGATAAATGCAAACCTCCTGGGAGAGAGAAACACAATTCTGACACTGCAGTCCACATGTATGAACACTGAGGGGCTGGAGCGTGTGCAGGGAAGGGAACGGAGCTGGGAAGGGGCTGGTGCAGCAGGAGCAGCTGAGGGAGCTGGGGGGGCTCAGCCTGGAGAAAAGGAGGCTCAGGGGGGACCTTCTGGCTCTGCAACTCCCTGACAGGAGGGGGGAGCTGGGGGGGGGTCGGGCTCTGCTCCCAGGGAACAGGGACAGGAGGAGAGGGAACGGCCTCCAGCTGTGCCAGGGGAGGGTCAGGTTGGATATTAAGGAAAATTTCTTCACCAAAAGGGTGGTCAACCCCTGGCACAGCTGCCCAGGACAGGGGTGTTTAAAAGCCACATGGATGTGGCACCTGGGGACATGGGTCAGTGGTGGCCTTGGCAGTGCTGGGTTAACATCTGGACTTGACAATCTTAGAGGGCTTTTCCAACCCTAACGGCTCTGTAACAATTTTGCAGGTGACTTTAGCACTCAGCACTGAGGGAACACTGTGCAGCCCAGGGCACAGGTGGTGCAATGTTTAAGGTCCCTCTGTCACAGTGGAACACACGTAGTGCAGGCAGATGTGGAAACACGGGGCCATTTCAACCTCCTCTCACAGCAGAACATAAACAGCTGAACTCCAGGAAAGCCAGTGAGTGTGAAAATGCATGCAGACTGCAGATTTCAAGGAATTACTTCTACTGGTAAATAATCCTTCCATTTTTACCTTCAAAACCGTAGTTCTCAAGTAAGCTCACACTGCTGGGGATTCCTTGCTGGAGTGTCCACAGCATCAATCTGTCTGGAGAGGGGCCTGGAATCTTTCACACTAACAGCAACTAGAGGTGTTGTGCCAAGGGATTTTCCACATGTTTTTAAAACAGCGTGAACTCCAAAGCCAGGCCCAGCTCCAGGTAACCACTCAACACATTATCCAGGGGCCCTGACACAGAAGGCTCTGAGGCCCAAAGGTGGGGCCCACCTGGGCAGCCTCGTGGTTCTTGGAACCAGATGATCTCCACTTTCAGGGGCTGGGCAGAGCAAAGAGCCCCTGGGAACTGTTGGATATTGACACTACTCTTCTTTAAATTAATGTCTTAAAAATGCCTTCCTGATACGTCAGGTGTGAAGGAGAACTCCTCCAGTCTAGGGGTGAGTCTAGGGAAAAGGAATGCCTGTGGGGATTTGTGATGGCAAAGGTACTCTGCTGCTCTGAAATAAGATGTAGCACAGCCTACAAGCACACCATGTCCAGACAAACTGGCAAGAGGCAGCAGGTGGGGGGAATGACGGGTGGGGTAGAGATGTGAAGCACAGAGATACACATGGGACTGGTTTGTACTCCCTCAGCGTGCAAAAAGTCAATTAAAGACCTAGTCCAAGATGCCCTGAGGCCAGTAAGGGGCCTTCAATCCACTAAACAATACCTCCTCTCCAAACAACTCAGTCTACCTGTTGGAGTGTTCCAAAAGGCCAGCTGGTGAGCTCTGAGTGGAGCACTTACTGCATCAGACAGATTCACTGTTTCCCAGCAGAATGTAAATGATGCTGCACTCTCCTTCTTGTTGACAGTTCTGTCCACCACGAAAGACAGGACCAAGATCCTTTGCATGCATTCTGTGCTGCCCTGGAAGGCCACAGGTGTGTCTGAAGCAGGTGCACCGAGGGTTGTTGACCTTGGGTACCAAGGGTTTCCCAGTAAAACCCTCACCTTGACTGACAGATGTGTGTCAGAAGTCAGGAGGAAAACGAAGCAGAATCGACTGCAAAGGCAAGTGGACTGTGCCTTTGGAACAGGAAGCATCTTTTCTGTGTAACAGGTGTCTGGAAGTACACACAGACATACCTTAGAGTGTTTTCTGGAAGGGGATGTGACTCCACCTTGGACCACTGGACACCAGTACAGTCCAGTGCATCCAGAGATGCATCCAAATGTACAAACAAATCTTTCACAGAGTCACAGAATGGCTTGGGTTGGAAGGGACCTTAAAGCTCATCTTATTCCACCCCCTGGCATAGGCAGGGACACCTCCCACTATCCCAGGTTGCTCTGAGCCCTGTCCAACCTGGCAAACTACTGGGTGGAGAAGCCCTGGTTGGTATTAAGCCTTAGAACTTCCCCCAAGGTATGCTAAGGACTAGCCTGGATAAGGTGACATTTGCTATTTCTTTTTTTCCTTTCTCTAAAGCCTCAGCTTTTGACTGCAGAGTCATCTGGAGAGTTTGCAGGAGTTGGATCCCCAGGATGATCCAACCAAAGATGGAACAATGTCTGACTCCATGTGAAGAGCTGTGTGTAAGCACTGTCTGTGAAGGCCCTTGCCCCATGGAGAATGTGAGTGGCAGGGCACTGCAACCACAACAGGTTTGATCCATGGAGGAAATCTTCAGAGGAGCATCATTACACCAAAAGAGATGTTCCAAAGGGCAAGACACCAGTCAGTCTTCCAGCCAAGATCAGAGATGGCAAATCTTGCCCCAGATCATCTTAAACTTGGAATTGCAGTTGCAAAGTTCTTTTAAGTCTAGGATAAGGATTCAGCTTCCTTCCCTTAAACAAGGTCATACTGCCTTTAAGTGCAGCACAAAGGAGAGAAGACATGAAACAGATTTGTGGCCTCTACTTTTAGGCATGACATCAGTCTCAGAAGACAGACTTCTGTGACTGGTGATGCAATTGCCCTGTTAGATAATTATGACAGCAGCAGAGGCAGTAAAGAACATCATTTCAGTTTTACTGAAACAGAATTTAGGGATCCTTATCACAAGAGCTACCCTGCCTCGGCTCTCCCAGCCCTTATCACTGGCAAAAAGTTTGCTGTGTAGGTAAAGCACTTGTCTAGAATATGGTATTGACTTTCAAACTGGACTTGGGTAGCAAACTGGTGAGCACTGAATATTTGATGTTCTTCATCCAAAAGGGCTTCATTAACAAGAAAAGCACTCCACAGAGAGGGTGAGTCCTGAGTTGGCCAGAGACAGCGGCTGAGGAAACGCGGCCAAGGTCACATATGGCAAGAAAGGGGACAATCTGTCCCATATGGGAACTTGTACTTCCCCAGAAGGTGCCAGGGTTCTTCTGAAGAGCCTCAGCACGTGCTTTAGAAAGGGGGGTTGAGCTGCAGCATCCTCTTTTGGCTCATCAACAAAAGCCAGCCCCAATTTGAGGTCGGTATCAGGACTCAGCCTGAGGCAGAATAACTCACAGCAAAGAACTCTAGGAACAGACTGGCATCTGCATCTTTTGGGCTACAAATCAATGGCAGAAGTTACTGCTTTTTGCCAAAAAGCAGACGCTCTGTGTGGGAGAAAGGTTCACAGGTAAAACAAAACCTGACGGGGGTGGCTCAAGGTTGCAACATGTCCTTAGAAGACACTGGCATCTATTGAGTTTAGACTGAAAACCACCCCTAGGAGGGCTGGGGTATCTGGTATCATTCAGTTCATGACCATCCCAGCTGGAGATGTGCACAGAGATTTATCACTTGACACTAGAAAACAAAGACACTGAGGAAGAGGATCACAGGGGAAACACAGGGAGTGTGCAACACACGTGGGTAAAAACTGTGCAAGTTAGAAAATATTGGTGTTAACCAATGTATGTTTCTAAAAATACCATCAAGGTATCATCAGAATGTACAACTGTAGCACACACACCACTGGGATATGCCAGCTCAGCACACAGCTGAGCGAGAGGAACCACCACAACCACAGCACAGCAAATCCTGCGGATTTAACAATGGGTCTGCTCAGACCTGCAGGCTGCTGACATCAGTCTGGACCATCAAAGATGGCTTTAAAGCCAACCTGGTCTGTTTTACTCCTTTGTTTCTTGAAACAACGTCAAGCTGGTTTAAAAAAAAATAAAATTTAAATATTGCTTCGTACCGTGGATCACTGATAGCATTAAAAAAAAAAAAAGGCAGCAAAAAGGGCACTTTAAATGGCATTAAACACATCAGATGAAAAAAGCAACTGCTCAGTTCCTTTTCCAAGCACTTGTGACAGTGTGTACCTGGCTGATGTGCACGGCAGAGACCTGGGCAGAACACACGGAGGAGTGGCTCGGAGAGTTGGGCAGAGACTTGCAGGGTCCGATGGAGAGCTGCTGCTTCTTCTTGGTTGACACGATCTTCTGAGCAACTACAGGGAGACAAAACACCCAGGCAGGTAAGGACAGCACACGTGGGACACAGGGCATGTGCACAGCACACAAACAGGGGCTTCCACTGCCAAACCCTGTTCCAAAAACTGACTGTCCCTGACCCACGACACCTGGATTGGTGGTGCCACACATCACATCCCAGTCTAATCTTTACTGAAAGAAGCTATGCCATGATTACTAGTTTTAGCTTTTATTCCTTAGCAGCAGCACAGCTGGAAAAATGCCTCATTTGCTCTGCAATTTATTAAGAAATTTTCTTCAGTGTGTGAGGAGAAGCAGCATTTATCAAACAGATACAGGGCTCAGTCATTAACATCTCTATGCATGGCCTAGCAGACCCATCATAAAAGAACTGAGCCTCCACCAAAACTAGTGACAATTATTGGCATCTCCTTAAAAAGTCACACAGAAACTTGGTGCAATTAAGCCAAGAGAAGTCAGTCTGTCTTGTTCATAAAGATAATTATGTAAATTCCAAGATGATTTTTCCTCACTACATTACAGCATGGGCAGAGATAGTGTAAGTACAGTTTCTCCTCAAACAAATGCAATTTTAATAACAAACTGGTCCGTGGCTTATGTTTTTCATGTAAATGAATGATGGCATAACCATGATTTAGTGAGAATACATCGAATAAAAAATGGCTCATATATACGAAGAAGCAGCTTCATTAGTTACATCCCACCTCCAATAAACCTCTTATCATCCTGAAAGGATGATATCAATTAATTTATCTTCCCCTGGCATATTGATCATAACCTTCATCAGCTAATCATGTTTAAATTACAGAGGAATATCGTAGCACTCTGTCATTTCAGACCCATTGGGTTATTGATCTGGAGCCCGGGAAGCCATATATTAAAATATTTTGAAACACATTAGTGAATGCAGAGAGCAAACCAAAGGTCAAGTTTTAACATATGCACGTGGGTTTGTCTTCATCATATGCGGTAAAGACCTAAATTAAGACCAAAACTGAATTATAAGCAGACATGAATGAAAACTACCTTGTCTGCAGAAGCTCCTGCTCTCACATGGGAGAGGTAATTAGTCAAGGAAAACATTTACCTCTTCCATCTGAATACAGGGGGGTTTGTAGCAACACATAAAACACACAGAACACAGTCTGACCAAATTATCCCTCTGGGAAGGCACAGGGAAAGGAAGCCCAAGACAGTCTGAACTCATTGACCCAAACACAAGTGAAGAACCAGGTTGCTCCAAGCCCTGTCCAACCTGGCCTTGGACACTTCCAGGGATCCAGGGGCAGCCACAGCTTCTCTGGGCAACCTGGGTCAGGGCCTCCCCACCCTCCCAGGGAAGGATTCCTTCCCAGTATCCCACCTAACCCTGCCCTCTGGCAGTGGGAAGCCATTCCCCCTCATCCAAGTCCCTCTCCAGCTCTCAACTCCTCCTTTATTGCCTGTCACCATCCCTGGAAGTGTTCAAAAAACCCGTGGATGTGGCATTTGGGGACATGGTTTAGTGCTGGGCTTGGCAGGGCTGGGTTAAGGGTTGAACTCGACCATCTTGGAGGGCTTTTCCAACCAAAATGACTCTGTGATTCTACAATTCATGACCTTGTAACAAATGTCAGCCCAGAGGAGTCACTCAATTAAACCAAATCTTGTTCTATAAAGTGAATAAAAAAAATGCAAGAAAGCAGAAATATTTTTGCCCCAGAGCTTTCAGGTTCTGTCTCATCCCAAATCCGCTTCTGAATTCAATGTTTCCATTTAACAGTTGCTAAAAGATGTTTCTAAAACAGAAGAATACTGACAATCTACGGCAGATAGCAAAAATAATCAAGATAGTGACAAGCATTTCAACTATTTTTAAAAATCAATTGAATCCTCTGTACTTTTACATATAATTAAGCTATCAATCTGAGGTAGATTTTTATTGTAATACATCTTTCTGTAATACAAAAAGCCAAACAAAATTTACGTGCCAAGTCAAGGACTCTTTACAAATAAACAGGGATATGCCACAGGTTTGTAAACAAGGAGAATTGATATTTTGCAAATATCTGGGCTTTGGGGAAGCCTGACGCTTATTTCTCATACATTGAAATTGAATTCCACAAGCCAGAACGACTAGGAGCTGTATTTTGCTTTAAGGCTTTGGTAATTAAAAGCATGTGAAATTCCTGGTCTGCAAGATGAACAAGATGTCCAGGTTGGGAGAGAAAGCCCTTGGCTTGAATGGCTCTTCTTCCACGCCTGACCCAGTGCACCAAACCAAAATTAACCTTCCCGCTCCCTGCCACTTCCATCCCGGGCTGTCGGTCAAACCACTCCAAGCAAGCATCCCTCACTCCCCTAATCCCTGCTGGAGGGTTTGCTGGGAGAGCTGTTCCACTGAGCAGGAGAGCCCGGGGTTCTGGCACCCCTGGAGCTCCACAGCAACCCTGCCACGCTCCAGCTCAGCATCCAAACCACCCCCGGCCCCGTCTGCCCGTGGAAAAAGGGACAAGAAAGGCAGAGCCTGGGGGAAAATCCTCCCTGCGAGGAGTTCAAGCCACAGGGAAGGGCTGTCTCATCTGGCCCTCACAGGAGATGAGCTGAGGGAGACCTCACCTAGGCTGAGACCTGATCTCTCCCTGGTCTTCAGATGGATCCTGGCAAACATCCAGAGGGATCAACAACGTGGTCACTTTTCTTTCCCAAAGGGCAGTGAACAGAGTTATTCCTGTGCTCCTCACACTGTTATTTTTGACCAAGGAACACTTGAAACATTAAAAATATCCATAACATCTGGACATATTTCTTCACTCAGTTATCAGTTGTTACATATTTAGGAGATGCAAACACTCTTCTCCAATTACCACTAATTTAAATCAAAACTGGTTTCTCACAAAAACATGTGTAAGACCATTTATCTCCACTGCATGTCCAAGTATGAGTAAACACTGGGTTCAGTTAAAATCTGCCACTTTTGCAAAAGATGGGAATGCAGTGAATTTTCCTTCATTACTGACAGACAGAAGGTAGTTTTCAGCTGAAGCTGGAATGCTCATGGCTGACCAGAAAACAGCAGAAGGGATAAACACTCATGAACAACTGTTTTAACTACTGGGGAAAAAAAACCAACCCAAAATAGGAAGTTACACAAAGATCAGCTTTCACCTTAAACAAGTCTCCCCCCTACTCACAGATCACTCTGACTGACAAACAGCATTTTATTACCTGGAAAGTCTCTGTTCAACTCATACCACCCATGTAAAAGGTGAAAAGTTAGTTTTAAATGACCCCAAATGCTCTTGCAAACACCGAGAGCCAGATCTCTGAAAATCAAGGCTGGCTTTTTGAAACCCCACGGTAAATTTGAATTCTTTTTGCAAACTCGTGGCATCTCCGAGCTCACAACGGTTCGGATCAGATGCTTTTACAGCCCACCAAGAGCTCTTTGCCTACAAGCCCATGGAGTATTAACCTCAGTGCAACCCAGTAACCCCAAGAGAACCTGGCAGGGAGGAGGAGAGGGAAAGGGGAAGAGGTTAAGACATATGTCAGCTTACACTTCTACAGCAGCTGCATTTCAGCTGAACATCCCACACTTACAGTACGGGTAAGTGTTCAATACAAACAAATTTATTCCACAATTACACATGACAGACAAAGCAGTAACAACCCCCAGAGCAAGCACTAACCACAGACGCTTCCAAAAAGGAAACATTCCTGGCAGAAGCCACTATTAAGGCCGTTGTGCCCGTTACTTTAAATTCCATTCGTTTTTCAGGCTAAACAACTTCTATACTTGTGTGCTGAAAAGGAGAGCTCGGTATCCCATGTGCCAGCTGTAAGAGAGAAATGAGTGCTGGGCACTTCCAGTGCTGGGCTTTGGGTATAGCAATTTATCCAGCGAATTTCTGGCTAATTCAGCCAGGAATGTCTTCAGCTGCTTTTCCCTGCAGAAACAGCGTGATGTAAACCCACAGCTGGGGAGGTGAGTTACTGCTCTCCCTGGACACCAACCCACTCCATACCCCAAAACACCCTGTGGTGCAACCTGCCGGGATAAACCTCTGTTCCACTTCACAGCACAAGCAAGAAGGGTGGGCAAACAGAGTGTGCAGGTGCTTCCCTGTGACCCTGCACAGCACCACGAGTCACACTGCCTGACAAAAACAACAGAGCTGCAGGGCAAGGCACCAAAAGCATCAGGAAGGTTCACAGGACAAAGTCAAAAAATCAAAAGTAGCTGTGAATGAATGCTATGTGCTGAGAGAGGAGACTCCAATTAAAGCACTGTCCTCCTTGTGGCATCTGTTGTAATAGAAAGCTACGAGTAGACAAAAGTTTATTTGATATTAATCCAGTGAGAGCTTCATAGTTGTTCCCGAAACTGGAAGTCAGATTTTAACACAGGAGCCAATTCCTACCTGAATTCCCTTAATCTCATATTAAAATACATTTATGTTCATGGATGTCTCCATTGCTCTGTAGGGCTGGTAATCTGCTGGAAATGAAGTGATTGTGGGATTGCTCCGATTACTGAGGGACTTCACTGCCAACTGTAATGAACAGGCCCCCTCAGGATGGGACAGAGTCGAGCCTACTCGTGCTAATTTTGGGATGAAAAAAACTGCCAGGACTCCCAGGTATACAGCTAAACCCAATTTCCAACCCCTCAGGCAGAGATTATTTCCAAGAACTATTAGGCCACTTCGTAATACAAGTAAAGAAGAAATATATGAACGAACACATGAATTTTATACCAAAAAATACTGTTTCATGATCACCACTGTTCACAATCAAGTTCAGCTACAATGGGCTAGTTCAGCGTTCATGTTTCTAGAAGACTTGAATACAATTCTTCTCAAAAATAATTTTAAAACTACACCTTACTGCTATTTTGGGGGGAGGGGGTGTGATCCTTCACAAAATACACATTTCAGCTCTGGCTCTGTGAAGTAACTTTTCTTGTTTTATCAGATATGAAAATACAGCTATAAATAAGCCCCAGTATTAAATA